GTTAACCATGGAATGTCGGCCGTGATTACGATGAATTTTTTTTAATTCCGTGAATCAAACTCTGTCAAACGCAAACACAAGGAGTTAACCGATGAAAATAAAATTATGAATATTGAACGTATTTGGTAGAAGCGAAATGAAATAATATGAAAAATATTGTATAAATAGAATTTCTTGTTTAATCACATAAAGGAAGAAGAGGCTGAGGACATGCTGAATGATAGGTCCGTGTACATGAGAGGTTTTTCCATTGAGGAAAGATTTTACGTGAGTTATTGTTGTTGTAGTTGCTGTTGTAGTTGCTGTTGTAGTTGCTGTTGTAGTTGCTGTTGTAGTTGCTGTTGTAGTTGCTGTTGTTGTTGTAGTTGTAGTTGCTGTTGTAGTTGTTGTCGCAGTTGTTGTTTTTGTTGTCGTTGGATGTTAGACGTGTTACCTATTGTTGTCATTTTGTTAGGTGTTGTTGCACGTTGTTGTTGTCTAATGTGTGTTACTGTGTGTTGCTTTGACATGTTGCATGATCGCGAATTATTTGCCTGGTTTTTGCTTGCCATTCTTGTTTCTTGTTGCTGTTTTTAATGTGCATCCTGTTTCTGTCACAATTATTTGTTGAAGATTTGCGAAACAGCATCTATTTAATGAACAGCGTAGCAGGTCAATTTAATTTTCAGACTAAAAGGGTTATAAAATGGTGAATGACAAACACAATGTTTCAACATTATGTACAAGTACATGTATATATTTCATATAAACAGGTCCTGCAAGAAGTTAGGGTAGAAGGGTGATCTGGCATGGGCCTCAGAATTTATGGGGCCTTCGAATTTATGGGGCCTTCGAATTTATGGGGCTTCTAAATGACTCTTACAGACTACTCATATATTACATGTTATACATAAGGCTATGTTTAATTAAATAAAATTAAGTGCCTCCGTACAAACATCTCGGTAACTCATTAATATTAATGAGGTACGCTTGGAAGCACTGTTATATAATTATTGGATTTTTATTACATTCGCATTAATTGGAAATCTTCTAGGATGTCGATTTGAGATCACCAGTTTTAAATGGTGATTTTTTTTAAATGTTCATTGGTTTTGATACAATTGTAAACTATTTGAAATAATAATAATAATAATATTGATTATTATTATTTACTGGGTAATAATAATATTTTTATTATTCAATTTAATTATTTTTATTTGTTAATTTCTTTAAATGAAGGTCAAATCGAAAGTGAGTGACGCCTACGCAATTTTGAGGATGGAGCACCAGGGTAATGACCCCTACTTCAACTCCCCGATGGATAACAACTCTAGATCATGTTAGTTTTCATCATCATCTTTATCGTCATCACATCACAGCATCATCTTCTTCATCGTCATCATCATCGTCGGTAACATCTGAAAACATGGCAATTATTATAACATCTTTGCACTATCATAATTAACATCAATGAAATGTTTCTCAAGTATTTTTTTTAAGTGTTCGTAGGATGGTGTTCATCATTAACTCCTCGCGAGACCCAAACTTTTGGTTAATTTCTTTTTTAACCGTCTAATTATTAAATTACTGTTTTGACGGCTTATGTTTCGGCATTTTTTTGTTTCTTGTTTAGAAAAGTTTAGAAAATATAGTATGGTGCANACATTTTGTTGGGTGCTTCTGTCTATGTATGTCTTTGTATAATTTCTATTGTGCTACGTGGTGCAGAAAAACTGAGTACCTGAAAGGGCGAGTTTTATTGAAGATTTTCCTTTTGTGGTTATATATTATTAGTATGGCTTGGAGGTATCTCGGTGATGCTATTGCAACTGTTTGCTGGTTTATCGAGAATTTGCAGTGTGTCAAAATTTATTTTGATTGACAAACGTTAAAATTAATGTCCGTGTTGTTATCGTTATTTTCATCATAATTTCATCCATCCATCCGCTTTGTCATCCATCTATTCAAACACTCATTCACTCAATTATACAATCATCAATCCATCTATCAAACCATCCACCCATCCATTCACCCATCCATTCATCCATTCATCCAATCTTTTTACTTCATCTGGTCATCATCAGCCAGGTAGTTGTTAACATTGACATCCAAGTGTACAGACTGACTGCTTATTAACTCACCAACTCATCATTCATTCATTTCATTATTTACTTCATACTTGCTAGTTTGCATTAGAATAATAAACCTTTTGTCTGTTTCGTTTTGTTTGTTTGCATTTTGTTGAATAATATAAATTTTAATTAAGTAATTAATTGATTAATTAATTAATCGATTAATTAATTGGTTAAATAGTTAATTAATTTAACGTCAGGACTATTTTTTTCATTCTGATTCATTACTTACCTACTCGCACATACTTATAAATATAGTATAAACATATTTTACGTACATAAATACAAAAATGCATGACTAACCACCAAGAAAATATGTGTTATACAATTATATTTTCTATATGTGTGTTTGTGAATGTGTTTGTGTACAGTAGCGAACGGATCTAGACAACATTGACTGGGGACCAAAAATTTTGAAAAAACATAAATTTGTGTGTGTGTGTGTGTGTGTGTGTGTGTGTGTGTGTGTGTGTGTGTGTGTGTGTGTGTATACCTAAATGACTAACTGCTCATTGTTTAATCCATGCACACGTAATTAATTTTATCTGAAATCCTAATTTTATGCACATGCATTTTCAAACCGGTTACAATTTCTCAATTAATGTCGAAAAAAATGGTTTTTTTTCTGCAATGAATTTGCTTACAAATTGCTTATTTATCTATTTTATTAGAATAAATTCTGAATATATCCTCCAACCAAACGCTTCTTCCATATTTTACATTTCATGATCATTTTTTTTAATTTTTTTGCTCTCATTGACAGTTCAAGAAAACTCTTCATAGTTTACTCATGTGTTGAAAAGAAGAATTCATGAATAGAATTTACAATTCACACACACAAACACACACAAAGAAAAACACACACACACACACACACACACACACACTAATAAACAAACAAACAAACACACAACACGGCCACTTTAAATGTTTTTTTTCGCTTTTTAATCATCATTTTTAAAACCTTTTACATGCAATGAAAAAGTTTAGTATAGATTGTTTTATCTTGAATCAATTCTGATTTTATTTATTTCATTTTAACTTTTATAAATCTTGCATCCATGTTAACTTGTTTTCGTTACCGTCACATCGACCGGCTGCTGGCCGAACCTAGAATACACTGGCTACTTCATAAAGGTTAAACTATTTATAGTGTCTTCACCAGGTTACAACTATTCTCAATGAGATGTTGTTGAATAGAATTTGCACGCATCACACGCACACATACACACATACACACAAATATACGCACAAACAAACCACTTATTGAGGTGTCATTGGCAAGTAGGTTAAAATTTTTCGCAATCATTACAGTCAAACACTACATACATACAAATATACATACATACATACATACATACATACAAATATACATACATACATACATACATACATACATACATACATACATACATACATACATACATACATACATACATACACACATACACACATACACACATACATACATACATACATACATACATACATACATACATACATACATACACACATACACACATACATACATACATACATACATACATACATACATACATACATACATACTTACATACATACATACATACATACCTGGATTGTTTTATCTTTATGAAATGTGACAGTGCCTGTCTGCATTGTTCTTCTGTTACTCTGTAAGCCGTCAATTCATTTAATGAAATTGCTTGAAATTTATTTTGAATGGTTTGATTAGTGCACGGTGATTATGATGTCTTTCTATTGTGTATGTGATGTTTGTCTGCTATTTTTCATGTTATTTTTATGGTATGTGTTGTTATTTCATTGTTCTTGGTTATGTTTGATTGATTCTTTAAATGCAGTAACGAGATTTGTGGCGGTTGTCATTTTTACTTAATCTCAACTCTGATCTCATCTCATCTTTCTAGCAGTTCAATTGAATTTTTTCTTCGAACATTTAAAAAAAATTTGTATTTATTCATTCATTCATTCATTCATTCATTCATTCATTCATTCATTCATTCATTCATTTATTCATTCATTCATCCATTCATTCATTCATTTATTCGTTCGTTCGTTCGTTTGTTCATTCATTTGTTCGATCATTCATTCGTTCGTTCATTCATCGTCAATTCATCCTCATTAACAATTAGCATTTAATTGTTATTTGTTCTCTGCACTAGCACAGGTGTCCGCAAATTATTTATCGTTCACTTTCATACATGGCTTTCTTGATTGCTTGTTCGTTCGTTCATTCGTTCGTTCGTTCATTCGTTTGTTTGTTTGTTCATTCGTTCGTTTGTTGTAGTTGTTTGGTGTTTGGTCATCTTACGAGTGGTTAAACTTCGAAAGTTTGCTGAGTATGTTGTTGTCAAGTGAAGGGACACTGAAATATAATTTTATTGTTTTGGATAAAACATGAAACAATCTCAAAATAATAATTTGATAATTTATTGTAGCAACAAAATCGTTTAACGAAAAACTGTTTTAAAACACATCGGCAACAAACTACGCTAATCAAATTAAAGCCATTATAAAGTATTCTAATAAATAATTTAATAAATCATATAATTCAGAAAACTTGTAGTGAATCACTGAAACCCATTTCACGCGTGTAGGATTAAATCATTCAAATTGACATACGAAACGAAACGAGATTTTATTTGGTTGGCAACATAAATTTCGTGAAAAATAAAGGTTACAGGTCTGGCCAAAATAAAATCTCTTCAAATATATCGAGACACAAACATGCTCAGTTACATATTAAATAATTGGAAAATAAATTTTATATTTTGTTCTAGCAATTTAAAATTGACTCAGAAATTATTAAAACTCTCGATACAGAAGTACAGATGAAAACGTGGTAAATAAAATAACTAATAAACACAAGCGAACATTTTTCTTGGCCACGAATTTAACGGCACTTAATGTTTTTGTTTGCTGTTCTATGTGCTGTTTGTAAATAGTAGATTCATGCTAATTATATTGCGGACGATGACTACCTACTGTTGATGTTGTTGTTGTTGATGTTGTTGTTGTTGTGGTTGTTGTTGATGTTGTTGTTGTTGTTACTGATATTGTTGATATTGTTTCTGATGTTGTTGTTGATGTTGTTGTTGATGTTGTTGTTGATGTTGTTGTTGATGTTGACGTTGATGTTGTTGTTGTTGTTGATGTTGTTGTTGTTGCAGATGCTGTTATTATGTTAATTTATATTATATAGGTTAATTAGTTATTTCTGTATGGGAATTTAGTTAATTGGGTTGGCTCTCTTTTGGACTGGTTGAATAATGTTAGGGGGCATTGTTATGTTATGTTGTGTTGTGTTGTGTTGTGTCGTGCTGTGTTATGCATTATTAGTTAACAAATAATTTGCTACGGTGTTATATACTTAGTCAGTATTGTAAATAACATGAGAAAATAGATATATATAATTTTCAAATCTTTTTTCGAGATAAGCGTTGAAACTAAGGATTCCACACCCTCCAGCAACTACAATTTTTAGGGCAAATAAAAAAAAAGTTTAAAAATTCGTCAACGATGAATTTAATTTAAAATTCATTGGTTGACGTCGTTACTTCAAAGCCTGAGTGGAGATGACGTAATATTCAAGAAAGGAGATGACACTGCTGGTATAATTCGATGATAACTAACAGGACTAGGCTTCATATTCTTAATTCTCTCTCTCCCTCTCTCTCTCTCTCTCTCTTATCTCTCTCTTCTATTGCTCTTTTCCTCTCTTGCACACACACACACACACACACACACACACACTCATAAACATAAGTATATATAAACGAAATATATATTTTTCATTTATGAAAATAAAAAATATATCTGTTCTCTACGTTCGTCCGATTGTTTTGTAAGCCCACACTGCATCGCCACAATTTAGCGTCTCAGTTACCCATTATGTTTTCTTCATTATTTTTATCACTACTGATAAGATGATTATTGCATACAGCGCTATATAAAGATATGAATAATAATAATGACTTCACTTTTATCATCATGGTACTGACTGACGTCATCATCATCGTCACCATTATCACTACCATCATCATCATTTCTATATTTTTATGTCTGGTTACGCTTAAAAAAAAATCTAAAATTCTATCTCTCTCTCTTTCTTTCTTTCTCTCTCTCTCTCTTTCTCTCCTCTCACACATAAGCACGCACACACACACACACAAACAAGCACACACACACACACTACACACACACTCGTATCAACGTACATACATGTAATCCTTCCTGTTAAACAACAACATAATTCATTAAAATCTCTTATAATTCATTTTGATTCAATATAATTCATTTCAATGCATTATAATAGTTCATCCTATTTATACCATGCCGCACTGTCAACCAATCTGTCAATCATTCGAATTCTATTTCAGTGATAACAAGCAGGGTATATACATAGGGATAGAAAGAATGACAAAAATCAGAACAAATAAATGAATGAAGATAAATAAACTAAAAATAAGCATGAAAAACAAAGCACCTTAAACCAACATAAACAAACGTTTATAAACACATAGCGACAAAACAAAATTTATCTGGTCTTTGAGATTGAATACAATTGTAAAGTATTTTAAAACCGTTTAAAGTTGCAATAATAATAATGCTAATATTAATAATATTAATATATTATATTTTAAATAATAATAATGATAATAATGAACAATAATAATAATTGAGTAGAAAATTGCAAATTGAACTTCTAGACAAGTGTAAACTTGGTGCATGTTTGCCTATTTCAGCCTGGCTAGGCTGGCTGTCAAATATTTTCATTGAAATTTTTTTTATTATTTTCAAAGTTTTATTATTGTTAATTGTTGTTGTTGTTGTTTTGTTTTTGTTGTTGTTGTTGATGTTATTTGCGTTTTTTAGTTTTTAATTGTTTTTCTACGTTATGTATTTGCGGTTAAGTGGTCTTGTGTTTGGATTTGTTGTTGTTTGCTCGTTCATGTTCATGTTCACAAATGGCACATACGCGCGTACCTAGTTCGACATACTTATACATGTAGTAAGTATATACGAAACGTATTGCACACATGTACACCATACAAACGTGTACACATACACAAGTACACAATTAATACACTAACACGTACATATCATACCATACATACCAGCAGGTATTTGTTTAACGTACCTAAATACTCAACTAATGCACTAATTGGTGCTGTACATATATAACATTTTAACGTAAAAAATAGTTAAGTTCTATGTGCTGTATTGTATTGTATTGTATTGTAACTAACAGTGATTTGTCATGTTGAATGAATGAAATACACTGAAAGGCAGTTAGAAAATGTTCCCACGCTACGAGAACGCTGCCTGCCCTTCAAACCGTTTCACATTCTTCATTTGAAGTGTTTCAGTTGAGTTAAAGACTAACCAACTGTTGAAATTTATCGCCGGAATGGTTCGTCCGGATATTAAAAATAGATCACTTAATCATGACTTGATGTGGTTTCACGGCTTCAATCACGAACTGCTACTGTATTACTTATTCAAATTAGTCCTATTGTTATTCTAATTATTCCCAACGTGATAGTTCTGCCCTTATTGCTCTGTTAATGGAATTGCCTGTGTTGCTATTATTATTACTATTATTATTATTATTATCATTATTATTATTATAAGAGAATTTATATAGCGCGCTTTAATGCAACTCAAAGGCGCTGCTTTCGTCTGCTGAAATCATCGGGGAAAAAATAAGTCTTCAAATCTTTGCGAAACTTCTGAATAGTTAAACCAGGTTGACGGAGGCTGTATGGCAGTGAGTCTTAAAT